GACTCAAGTAATGCATAGATGACTTAAGTATTATGTTTCTATGTGCAATTATATATTTGTAAATTAGTACTATATAAACGAAAATAGTTTAGTGACTAAGTTGTAATAAAATAAAGTTTAGTGACCAACTTGAAATTTATCAATGAGTTAAATGGCTAATAGTGATTTTTACCATATTATCATACATATAAGTTTAATTAACATATTCCTTATATCATCCTTGAGTAATACTTATTAATAAGAGTGAAGTAAAACGATGATTTTGATAATCAATACATACAACCATAGATCTAAGAAGATTCATTTTTTTTCCTTATAACGTTGATTATGAACAATTTTATTCATTTATTAAAATATAAGTTGTGTAACAATGTGTTTTTTGACACAAGCTCCCAAATCATTGACACCTTTATTCGCGCGCTCAATATTAAATAAAATGTAGGAATATTAAATAAATAAAAATCGAAAATTATTATAAAATTGTTATTTTATTACATTAAAAACTATACCATATGGAACACTACACAACAGAGAACAGGTGCAATTCTTCAAATATCAACATAATCAAAGCTCTAATTAATTAATTATTACACACACTATATTGCTGAAGAGGATCTTAAAAACTATATTGGCCAACAGCACACAAACTGAAAAGATTAAAAATATAAAAAGATTTAGAAGAATAATCCTTCCTTAGGCAGTCCGCGATGTACCTGATGGTTTTTTACAGACACAGTAATCTCTGGCCACCTTTGAAAGAATGCCCATCGTTAATGGCGTAGCAATGGAAATGATAACAAACAATAGGGATAGATTGCCAGTTGCCATCTCGGTCATACAGGTATCGTACGTTACTGAGAGTGCCACAAGTGAGACTTTCAATTCCAATTGTAAAGGGAATCCAAAAGTGAGAAAAAATATCATCTGAACAGATGTGAAAAACCCGATTGAGTTGAAAATCAGGAATAGACCGAATGAAGATGAATTCTGTGTTCCCATCACTGCCTTTCCAGCAGTATGTGGCTTTGTGGTGTTACTGTTACTGGTAGGACTAGAGTCTTCCTGCCAAACACCACCAGGTGGACTAAGGACGGCTTGATATGTTGCAGTTGTGATTAATATAGCTATCACAAGCAATGTACTTCGGACTTCACTTGGAGTCTCTTTAGCTTTGTCAAATTTGAAGTAGTCCTGCAATTTATCGTAGGGCTTCCGAGGCCTCTCTCCCCTTGATTCATTTGGATCACGAGTGGGAACGACCCTGTTCTCAGTTTGTGTTGTCTGTCGCGCTGAAGCCCCAGCTAGCCTAAGCATTTCCTCAATTTCACCATCACCCCCTTCTGATAGTAATACGTCAAGTGGTGTAAGGTCCCTTTCGTTCAAGGAATTCACCTCCAACACAAATTCCTCATCCAGCATCAACTTAACAACCTGGTTTAAAAAAAAATAAAAAATATAAAAAATCTGAGTATAATGCATAGACCCAATGATATCACAACAATAAAATAGAACACTAGGAGCATATTTAACGGGTTCGTGGTAATAGACAATATATCTCGTCCAATCCATCCTGCCAAACAAGCAATAAGATGTTGGTATTTGCCTCGTATTGCTTTCTGGATGCTGCAAGATGCAAGATGGTGTTCCCTTGTGCATCCTTTTCATTCAATATATACTCTTTATCATAGGTCTTCAGGTGCACTGCCAGGCTCTTAAGGGCTTCAAACTGGTTGTTTTTCACGGCCAGATGGAGAGAAGTTTCACCACGTGCCGTCACTTCTCTTATGCTATCTTCACTGGCTGAAATCAGTACTTCAATGACTTGTATTCTGCCTTTGATCACTGCACAATGGAGGGGAATTCTTCTCTCTTTTCCCTTAACCATACACAAATTAGGATCTATGTTCAAAAACTCCTTTACAATCTCTAAATCCCCATTAGCTGCAGCAATATGCAAGGGACTGAAACCTTCATTGTTCAAATCTTTTGCGAATTCTCGACTCAGATTTAGAACCTCTTTCGCAAAACTCAGGTTTCCCGCCATACAAGCAATATGTAAAGGAGTTTCTCCACCTAATAATGCTCCAGTCTTCATCAGGAAAGGATCTTCTTTGATCAGATTTTGCAGCTCATGAACATCTCCATTACGAGCAGCCTCAATTAGCCTTCGCCTTATGTCCATAGGTTGCAGATAATTTTTCTGAGCCTAAGATCAGATGTACCACTTCTGGATGGTCCAAATAAAAACTAGCAATTTATACTTTTATCCATTCTTGTCTTAGATCAGTTGTACCACTTCTGGATGTTCCAAATAAAAACTAGCCATTTAAACTTTTATCCATTCTTCTTATTCAACAAATATCTCAAAAGGAGTTAGAAGCAATTTTAAAACAGTCTTGATAGATCAAGAAGTCAAAGAAGGCTTTGTACACATGAATCATAATACAAGTACATTAACTTTGACATCAACTTCGACATTGTGCCACGTGTCGGAATATGATTGGATAATTTTTAAACACCACATACTTTTTCGCCCATTTGCATTTGAATTCACATGGAGTGTCAAACTCCATGTGAACCATGGAATGTACAACAAGCTAAATTCTTGTAGACATTGGTTCAAAATTGTCTGAATGCAATCACATCTTTAATCCCGATTTAGCTAAATATCATATTTTTAATGGATTTTAACAAAAACTTGATGAAAATATATGATTGAAAAGTTGATAAAAATTGTTTATCTCATAAAATTTGTGGTTGAAAATTAATATGCAAAAAAAAAAAAAATAGAGGCCAAAACAGGGTCGAATCTTCTAATAAATATCTATATTGTTGAAACCAAAATTTGTATGTTCTAAATCTATGTGAATTTCTAATTTAATTTTTTAAAATTTTGATAAAAAATGAAGATGAAATGGATTAATAGAATTTTTTATTCTCGTATACTTGTGGCAGAGTTAGACGAATTTATATACAAAACTATTATCGCTGATTCCACAAAACAGAAATAAAAAGAAATTAATTAGCTATATAAGAATTAAACTCTTTTTTGGCTGTACAATAAAAAGAATTAATTCGGGGCACTTAATTTTACTTAATCACACTAGATAAAATTATCGAGTCATTGAGATGGGTTTACACCAAATTATACATATTCATGATGAATGTTATGAATTGCATTGGAATAAATAAGTAAATTTTATAAATATGTAGAAATTATGTATAAGTAGAAAGCATTTATTAACTTCTAAGTAAAAGTTATGAGTAATGAAGTATACTTACACTCAAGTTTTACAAATAAACTTGTTTGCTTATAAGATAAACTAGTGGTGCATTGTGCGTTGCACGGATACCATTATATTTTTTCTAAGTGATTTTGTTAAAATGATAGTCTATTTCAAAACGATTACTAAATCTCATACCCAAAATCAATAGACGATCGCGGGGCGAGAGTTTCAAGACTGCTATTGGAAATCAAAAGATATGTAATAGTTCCAACTTTTTTTTGTTAAATCTAGTGTGCATATCCTTGACATAGATCACAATTTCTTGACCTATTGCAGTGACTAATCAACAACCAAGTAAATCGAGTTAATTCCGCATATTTATAACACCAGTTTTGGGGAAAAATAAATTTGATTTAAAAATTGAAATGATTTGACGTCTAAACATTCGTTTGCTATTTGCATCATCTGAAGACTCCTGAAGTGCAACAACTGTTCAACCTGAGCTCTATCTCTCAAACTAAACACCAATAAAATTTCACATTGTCTTCACAAATTTTCAAAACTAAAATTGAAACCAGCAAGTCATGGTAAGGGAGTGATTGCCAAAGAATCATGACTCATTAAAAAGACACCCATAACATAGATGACAAGACTAATAAACAGGAATATGCAACTGAAAAGTAAAAGTGCCATACAAATTTATGAGGAGACTATTTAATAATTTGCATTCTT